AATCCGTCCATGCATAACTGAGATCCGGGTCCGGAATGGTGAAAATGTGCGATTTTGATGCATTTTCGGCCTTAAAATGGCCGCTATTCAGCTATCGTTAATCGGATCATGAAAAAAATGCATGTGCATATGTCCCATATAATGTGTGATGTACGAGTGAAGTTTGAACTTAATCGGTCCATGCATGTTCGAGATACAGGTGATCATGGACGCACGGACGGACACACACAGGGCAAAACATAAGTCCCCGTTTTCGGACTGCGTCCGAACGGGGACTAAAAAGAGAACTACCGTTTCTGCTTTAATATATATTTTGATAGACTTGCTGACTGTAATTTTTTGTAAGCATCACGACAGACTTCAAGAAAGTCAACTGTTAATACAACCACAGTCAACGAATAGGAAAATAGTTTTTTTTTTATTTTTTTGGGTAGAAAAAGACCCCCTGGGTGTGTGCCCCGATATGACCTCAACTTCTTTATTGTGTCAAAAGTGGGGTGTGGGCGTTTGTCCACGCATGGGCTCTTACTCTGATAAGTACGGTAAAAAAAAAAAAAAACTTCAAACTAAAATGTTTGAAATATTTCATTGAAAATTTCAGAATAAAATTATATTAGGAATAAAACACAAATATGACATACAGTTCATTATATATTTTCAAAAGCTGTATTGGTTTACACCTCAAAATAATGGTAATTTATTTATAAATGGGTAGTGGTGTACAAATTTTAAAAGCAGGTGTCGGATTCATATCTTAAAACAACATAGCCAAATGACGATTAAATGTGCTCGTTAACGCACAGTATTGGTGTTTTAACACTAAGTGCGGTGGTAGTAACAACAATGCTCACAATCATAAAATTCGTTGAACTACAAACACTGTGCTCTCGCTGTTGCTCGCAAATGTCGTAAATTACGAAATTTGGACAAGATTTACGAACAAAATAAATATCTATTAGTAGGATTTACGAACACATTTTGTACAAAATACCCTTTGCAAATCGCCCTCATTTAATTGTCAAGACTCGACTGTGATCATCACGCGTGTTACGGTTTGAGTGATTGCCATTTTAAAGTTAAACAATGTCCCGTTACTTCTAAGATTGCAACAATTGTTACATGCATGGTGATCGCGATCAACACCGAACTGCCACTGAATGTATTTTTCCACTCTAAAGTTGTTTTGGTGTCATCGCACATGCGTAGTTTTGTCGACATGCGCTTTAAGATACCCCGCCACATTACTCTCAGTATGGGACGGTTTCATGTCGCAGTTATCAAACACGTGATTTGTTTATTTATTGAAAATGGAGACTACGTCAAGAAAAAGCAGACAACTGCTTGACGAGTATTTTTCACGACGAGATGGAGAAACCGCTAAATCGTGTTCAGAACCAGAAACCCATGGGTGTCTTAACCCTGACAGCACCAAGAAACGGAAAGTTGATCGTACTGCAGCACAATTTCAGAAATAATGGAAGGTTAGCTGCGGTTTGGTGCGACATACAATCTAATTTTGCCCTAACAATTTCATTCGGACGTCTTGTTTTTATTTTTGTTGTTGTATGTCGAACATGGGCCGGCCAGTGTTTGTCACGTAAATAATGCGGTCGGCAACATAGGGCTATGATTCTACAGCTAATGGAAGGTGAGACAATGTTAGCAAATTGATCGAAAAATACTATAATTTGTGTAACATTCTTCAGTGTTCTCCCCAGACTTCATGTCAAGCATCACGGTCAATTTGCATAACAATACATCTAATTTGCATAATTATATTTGCATAATACTAGTAATCAGTTTTTCCCAACCAATTTGGTCAATCTACTAATACAATTAATTAATACAATTAAGACAAGATATTTTTATATTTGATAAATTTTATATCATTTTACTGCATTGTATTTTATGTTTTTGTATCAAGTCAAATAAAGTTTGAAATAGGACAGCATAAAAAGGAAAACAAATTGAAAAACTTGTGTTATAGCTAGTCAGTGAATATAATGTTATCCATGGATGTAACTGGTTCATCATTGTGTACAAGTTTTAGTGCCCATGTCACTGTCAGTTCATATAACGTCGGGGGAAAACATCTTTTGGTTAAATTTATAAAGTCGGCGAGATATCGAAATATGTTGAAATAAATCAATAATTAGAAAAAAATTCTACAATGGCAGTTCGGCACT